GGATTGGAACATTCTCTGCAGGGATATGTGATTTTGTTATCCTTTTCAGATCCGTAAATGCATCTGGCATTTGGTTTGCTATTTTTTGCAAATGAATAATCTTTTGCACCTCTTTTTCACAAATAGAGGCACGTGGATCAAGATGAGATAATGATGGATTTTTCTACAAAATTTCTGGTTTGGTTTCACCATTTTCTCTCCCTAATTTTGGGAAAAGTGTCTCATCGAATCGAAAGTCTGCAAATCGTGACAGATCCCCCGTTAATGTTTCAAGATAGCGAAATATGAAGGCGATTCAAACTCAACATATATTCCTAACCTTCTTTGGGGCCCCATTTTGGTGCGATATGGCAGTGCTACAGGCACATATACTGTGCATCCAAAAATTCTTAAATAGGATATATTAGGTTCATGACCCAAAACTAATTGCAACGAGAAATATTTATGATAATTTGTCAGTCTGAGACGAACTAGCATTGCTACATGCAAAATGGTGTGACCCCAAACAGAAATGGGTAACCTCATTTTCATAAGTAATGGTCTTGCTATCAATTGCAGACGTTTAATTAAAGACTCTGCAAGACCATTTTGACTGTGAACATGAGCTACAGGATGTTCCACTTTTATCTCAATTGATAAGCAATAATCATTAAATGCTTGGGATGAAAATTCAGCAGCATTATCAAGTCTAATAGACTTAATTGGATTATCAGGGAATTGTGCCCGTAATCGAATTATTTGTGCCATTAATTTTGCAAACGCGAGGTTGTGTGATGACAATAGGAACACATGAGACCATCTAGAAGATGCATCTATTAAGACCATGAAATATCTAAACGACCCACTAGGTGGGTGAATAGGTCCACAAATGTCCCTTTGTGTATGTTCCAAAAATGCAGGGGACTCAATCCCAACCTTTGTTGGTGATGGTCTAATAATTAACTTGCCTTGATAACAAGAAGTGCAAGAAAATTCATTATTTAAAAGAATCTTTAAATTCTTTAATGGATGCCCATTTGAGTTTTCTACAATTCATCTCATCATAATTGATCCAGGGTGTCCCAATCGATCATGCCAAAGTACAAAAGTATTGGAATCAGTAACCTTTTGGTTTACAATAGAATGTGCCTCAATTGCACTATTTCTTGTCCAATACATGCCACAAGATAAAGATAGGAACTTCTCAATAACCCTCTTTTGGCCAGAGACATTCTTGGTAATGATGATATATTCAAGATTATTCTCATCTATTGTCTCAATATGATATCCATTTCGTCGGATATCTTTAAAACTCAACAAGTTCCTCTTGGACTTGAAGGAGAATATTGCATTCTCTATGATAAGATTGTTCATTTAGGCAGAGTTATAGTAGCTCTTCCAGAGCCTTCAGTTAGATTACTACTATTAGAAATTGTAGTAACATCTGCCTTACACATACTTAAATAAGAGAAATATTTCTTCTCTTTGAATATTATATGTGTCGTACATGAGTCAATTAAACAAATATTTTTACAATTGAATTGTGATCTAATTTTGCTTTGAGAGATATCCATATTTGCTTGTATTTAAAATCAAATTATAGAATGTCAAGAATTTAAAAGAGAAAATTAAAGTAAAACACTTACCTTAGATCCAAAATTTAATCATGAAGAAAGTTCATGGAACAATTGACAATCATTATGCTCAATCCCAAAGCTTCTACTCAATTGGTTAGAGTCTCGTGTTGATAACGTATTATAAAATAATAAAAGAAGAAGAAGAGTATTGCAGAGAAAAGTAGGGAGAGAGAATTCTTATTGATTTTGAGATGAATAAAATGAAATAGAACCCTCTATTTATAGGGAGAGAGTGACTTAGCCACCAAGTAATAAATCCTAGAATCTCTCTAAATATAGACACTCACCATAAATAAAATTTTATTTATAACACATCCATATTTATCCACTAAATGTTTTTTTTTAGAAATGACCTCGTCGTTATCAAACGTATTATATATGTTTTTTATTTTTTAATGGAGCTACGACTAGCATATTTTATCTATGAAATTAATCATCCATATGCCCTTATCTTTTTTCTTTTTAACATTAAATAACAATTAAACCAATTTAATTGGAACAAGTTACAAAAAGAGATTTAACAAAATATTTTAATAGGACTGATTATTGGACGACTGCGTTGTGCGTCAATTTTGAAGGAGGAATAAGCAATTACATTCATACGCATAATTAGGATTTTCTTTTTGTCGGATANGAAAAAAAAAAAGAACAGAAAATCGAAAATACAAAACAAAAAAAAAGAAGTAAAATTGGGGCAACTAACTAAATTTCTAGATAAGTTGGGTTAAAATCCCTTTGTTTTGAGTGAGTTTCATATATAGGTTGTATTTGAGTTGCTTAATGAGTCAAAATGAGTTATAAAAAATAATTTATTAATATGAGCTCAACCCAAATTGACCCATGAGCTAATATACTTGTAGTCCAACCTATTAATCTCTGGGCGAGTTGTACGAGTTAGATGGATTTGAGCTCAACTTGACACCCCTATATATAACATAAAAAAAAAAAAGGGTGAACCATAAGTCCCTATCACTTATAGTTATTTATTATTTTATGAAAAACTATTAAGAGATTCATTGCTTTTAATGTAATCCAACTAGGATGCTTAATTTTAATCAATAATTGTATACATAAGATGCTTGAAATTTGCTACCACGTGTCAGCAAAATGAACCCCGTAAGTTACAATAGGCTATTCCTATTATATATTTATTATATACTTCTACTCATTGACGAATTTAAAATTTTAAATTTACCTGTGAAGTGGCGAAGTCACATGCTTACAAGGGTGGTCAACTGATCACCTTCGTCGAAAAATTATATTATGTATATAAATAAAATATTACATTTTAGAAATATATAACACCTATTGAACACTTTTTTCGGATTTTTTCCCACTTCTTTCAAATTTGAATACCCTTGAGTAAATTCTTAACTTCGCCAATGTGTGACAGATTGGTTGGGGTGGGGGAGGTGGGGGGTAGGGTGAGTGGGTGATGCAGAAAATAAAAGAACAGAACAATAAAATATAAAAAAAAGAAAAAGTAAAATTGGGGCAACTAAGTAAATTTCTAGATAAATTGAGTTGAGATCCCTTTGTTTTGAGTGTTCATGGGTTGTATTTGGGCTGCTTAATGGGTCAGAATGAGCTATAAAAAATAATTTATTAACTTGAGTTCAGCTTAAATTAACTCATAAGCTAATATGTTTGTAGTCCAACCTATTAATCTCTGGATAGATTGGGCAAGTTGAATGGATTTAAGCTCAAATTACCACCCCGGTATATAGCATAAAAAAATGAGTGAACCATAAGTCCCTGTCACTTATAGTTACTTATTATTTTATGAATAACTATTAAGATATTCATTGCTTTTACTGTAATCCAACTAGGATGCTTAATTTTAATCAATAATTGTATACATAAGAAGCTTGAAATTTGCTACCACGTGTCAGCAAAACGAACCCTGCAAGTTACATTAGGTTATTCCTATTATATATTTATTATATACTTCTTCTCATTGGCGAATTTAAAATTTTAAATCTACATGTGAAGTGGCGAAGCCACATACTTATAAGGGTGGTTAACTGATCACCCTTCATCAAAAAATTGTATTGTATATATAAATAAAATATTACGTTTTAAAGATATTTAACATATATTAAACACTTTTTGTCGGAATTTTTTTCATTTCTTTCAAATTAAATACCCTTAAATAAACTCTTAGCTTCGCCATTGTGACAGATTGGTTTAAATTACCATGGCAAGGATACAAAGTTAATTTTGTAAATGTATGTTTTATGAAACTATTAACCAAGAGATAAAGATTTAAGAAAAATATGATGGTATTGTTTTTGGATGACCAATAAACTTATTTTTTTATCACCTTGACTTCCCTCATGGTTGAGGTATTATGCTTTTCTCCCTTATTTTTATTTTTTATAATAATTTTTTTACCTATTTATTATAGAATTTAAAAGGCCTGATATGACAAAATTGCCCTTTCATGTTGCATTAAACTACTGAAGGTTTGCTTGATTGAAACGATTGACAATTCGCTAGTAAAATGGCATTGAAGATAGCAAACAGGTGTGATAAAGGCTAGATCCACCCGTTACAGTCTCTTTGGCCAAGTTTTCCAAAGTTAAAAGTACTTTTTTTTTTTATTAAGTATTTTTTTTAAAGTTAAAGTGTTTGATCAATATTTTAGAAGCAAAAACGTGTTTTTAAGTAGAAGTAGAAAGAATTTTTAAGAAGTAGAAAAAATAGTTTCTCACTAAAAATACTTTTTTGAAAAACACTTTTGAGAAAAAACACTTAGAAGCAATTTTTTAAAAACTTGGTCAAACACTAATTATTGCTCAGAAATACTACTAATTAGCCAAATGCAAACTGTTTTTCACCAAAAAATACTTTTTAAAAAAAACATTTTTAGGGCTCTTGTTTACAGAGCGAATTTAGGATTTTAATTTTATGAGTTCAATAATATTTAATAATTTTTACACATAAATTTACGGCCTACATCAAAATTACGAAGTTCAGTTAAGCCTTATAACTCTATTTTCAGATCTATTACACCACCAAAAAACCTCAAAAGACTGAAGAATTTTCAAACAATATATTCTTTTATTTTATTCAGCCAGTTAATTTATTGTAGAATTTTTTTCTAAAAAGATGATTGCAATTTTAGACAGTGAAAATTTATTGTATCACAATTTTATAAAATTAAAAATATGTAGGTTAAAAGAATTTTTACTAGAAATTCAAAACAAAGAGAGGTAAGTGTAACATCTTAAACTAAGAGGAGGTAAGTGTAATGGAGTGAAAGTATATGGGCCGATTTAGACTTTTTACCTTTTCTGTTTATTAACTTGTCTCACTTATGATCAGCATAGAAAAAATATGAAGGCTGGAGGTCTATTTGAATGAAGTGCATATATATACTGATAGAACAAAAAGTGATTTATCAGTCAAGCAATTTCATTTGAAGAATGGCAACAAAATAGAGTGGAGAAATTAACTAAAAGTTTAGTTGCCCTGCTTTTTTTTTTTTTTGGGTTGTTGAGACTATTCTAATGTTGAACGCGAACCCTTCCTTTCACATAATTAAGCTAATCTCTGTAAATTCAAGCTATGACAAAGGAATTTGGCTTTGGCTATGGAATTTATCACATCTATATTCCTTTTCCTTGGTACATTTTCTGATGATGAGGTGGATGAAGAAGACGATGGCTCGGGTGAGCGCGTACGACTACGCCTCGCTGTAACTCTAGCCGGCTTAGGCATGTTTGAGCCGATTAAGTGAGGAAAATTGAGCCGAGCTCTCGAGCCGCGGATTTTGAAAGCGGCTTGATCGTAAGCTAACGCTGCATCCTCTGCGGTCTCGTAAGTTCCTAACCACAGCCTTGCACCTTCACCTTTCCTACTTGGGTCTCTTGTCTCCGCCGAAAACGTCCCCCACGGTCGCCGTTTCACTCCTATGTACCGCGTCCAATCTCGCGGCGCGTTTTTCTCACGCGCCACCCCAGGGCCCTGGGTTTTCTCCTCGGACTCGGAGTACTTTTCATGGGATTCATGTGAAGGATTCTGATCAGTTGGTATTAATGTTTCCTCAGAGTTTTCATCCCAATTAAGGAAGCTGCAGTCGAAGTCGAAGCTGCTAAAACTTGAGCTAGGACTGTTAGGCAATATTTCGTTGCTAGAATTCATCGACGAAAAAATTTCAGAAAAATCTGAATCGTCAAGAAGATGTTGCTTTATCGATTCAAGGAGATGAGAGTCGGAGAAAAACAAGGTTTCGTCAGCTGGATTCATTTCCATTGCCATAATAAGGTTTTGGATGAAAATGAATGTAGTTTTCTTGCTCCTTTTACCTTACTAGGGGTTACCAATTGTGGATGAACGAAAAGGTTGACACCCACATCTATTTATATATGCTTTGGTCTATTGCACTAGATCGTATCTTCCTGTTTTTCATTAATTATGTTGCATTCTCTCTCTGTTAAAGATTTTTTAATACCAAAATGGTGTAAACATCAACACTATACAAATTAACTCCAATTCATTACATTATTTTTTACATCAAAAAAAAATATACCTTGTATATTCTCCTCTTTTTTTTATATTATATTATTAACTTTTTATATATTCATCACATATAATTCATATTCCTTTCTTATATAACCATGTATTTAATATAAAATTATTTTAAATCATAAAATTTTAAATAATATAATTATAACCAAATATTATACATTATGCATGTTATATTTGTCGTGCATCCGAATACAAGTGATACAAATTGGTAATAATTGAACATTAGCTACAAATGATAATTAGGCAAACTATAGTTATGTATGATAATTAAACTTTAAGCTGTAGTGTTTTATGAAAGTTCAAAAAAGAAAAAAAAGGGAATGTCAGCTAAAAGAACCATAAATATAGTTAAAAGACCAATTACGACCCTGCAATAATTGAAAACGAGATTGTAAAACTCGGAATGCACGTTCAACATTTTTTCGACATGATATTCTTCTTTTGAGAATGTGGCTCGCGAATAGTTTGCACAATATTAGACTATTTTGGATATATACTGTCAGTGTTAGCTAATTTATTAAATGTTTATTTTTATATTATTTAATGAATATTGTGTTATTTATTAAAAACATATTATATTTTATATTTGCACCTTTTATTTTTGTGATGGTTATATTTTTTATACAATTATAACTTGTAATAGAATTAACTTATAGTAATATATAAAGATAATATATACGAAAATTAATTTATAAAAATATACACCAAAATTAAGATGTAATTTAATATTATAAAGATATTACATAAAAATAATTATATATATTAGTGACCTAATGAAGAAAGTAAAATTTATAATATGTTAAATTAAAAGTGTTATATAATAAAAAAAATATTTATGAATAATAATGGTGTTGATGAATGGTGTAATACTATTCATACACCAAAATGGTATACCAAATAATACACCAAAATAGGTTTGGTGTAATATTTAATATAATGTTGGAGATGGTCTTAGGGTAAAACTTTTGTGGGACCTTTAATTTGTTTGACTATAAAAACTTCTTATTACAGGTGTAATGAAAAGTAATTTTTTTCAAACATACAAATATATCATTCTTTTTGAAACTGATTAATAAGGAAAGTGTGTCACATCAATAATAGAGTGGGTAGGAGTTTCCGTGAAATTTGCTTTTTAAGTAGCTGCATGTTATGCCTTTTAGGTGCAGTGTAAATAACAGCTTGTTTGGATGGTTGTTACGTATCGTTTCATAATGTATCGTATCGTAACGTATTGTATTGTACTGTATCGTTTAATAAATATAATGTTTGGATAGATTGTGTCGTTTGCCATCGTTTCATGATATCACGCACCAGTATTATGAAGAATAAACTTGCAATATTGTAAAGAAAAATTATGATGCAAGGTAAAATTACTATATATAAAAAGATAGGGTAAATGATAAAATAAAATAATTTAATAATAATAAAGATTGAGAGAAAAAGACAAGGTAACGACGCGACAACACCAAATCGATCGTTACATAAAGTGACACATTTGATCGTTATGTAACGGTGGATTTACGATACGATACAATAAAATTTAAGTAACAATCAAAACAAACATTGTATTTAAAGTAACAATACGATGCGATACAATGCGTAACAACAGTCCAAACAAGAAAATTAAGTACTGATATATCCCATTAAGAAATGAATTATTTCATCAAAGGGAATTAAAAAATACAGTTCTATGTGAATATGGACATGAAGTGCGACAAAAGTACTAACACTATTTTTTGAATGCAGATCCATTAATTTTAGACCTAGAGGAAGATCTTTACACGTTCACATAATCTATTGAATCCCGAGCAGAAACGTTTTTTATTTGAAAAACAGGCCCAGAGATTGGTTTATTTGTATTTTTATTTTTGTCTTTTTGGTGAAAAATGAGCTGTCAAATTAAATATAAGGAGGAGTTATATACAGGAAAGTGGAAACCGTGAAGAGCTGATACAGAAATACAATTACTAATTTAAAAGAGATCTGGCAAGCTTTTCCTTTCAACAAATTTGGCAGCTCATTTTATCACCAAAAGAATATACTGATATGTCAAGCTAAGCTACGCCAAAATATTTCCATTTTGAAGGTCGCAATAAAGATCTTCGTGATCTAAAATGGATCCGAATATTTCAGAAATGATCGTCTCTTTGTTATTCTGATGTATATTATCACTGTTCTTTATTACTACCTGTTGCACAAAACAATATTATACAGAGTATAAAAATACTCCATGATTATGCCCCATTATAATAATACTAGACGTTAATGTCTTTTCGCGTTAAACCACTCGCCATAAGCATACATGACAATTAAAACATACTCCCTCCGGTCTCCTTATGTCGCAAAGTTTGAATCGATATGATGTTTAAAAAAAGATAGAAAGACATCTGAAACTTGTGTTCTAAAATAAATTACAGATATTTATATGACTTTAAAAATTTCTTATTAAGGGTAAAATAAAATGTTTGAGTTAAATTATTTTCAAATTTAGAAAGTTGTTATTTTTTTTAAAAACGGACTAAAAAAGAAATGTTACCGTATAAATTGGAACAGAGAGTATTTTTATATCATCTAGGGAAATAACATTTTTGGTCCCTGAATTATTGGGTAATACTGATTTTGGTCCCTATTTTATTCGACTAAATACATTTAACCTTTACTTAACTCAAATATGTGCTTTTGATCCTTGAAGCTAACAGAAGCTAAATCTTAACAAAATTATTACTTTTTAAAGGTAAAAAAGTTTGTTGTGACAGTGCCTCTCTTTTGTTTATTTTCTTTTTTTGATAACTTCCATGGAAATGGAGTTTGCAGCTAGAGAGAAGACGAAGGAGAAGAAGATCAGAGTGGAGAGAAAGCAGAAATGCTCTGTATTTCCAAGAACGGAGGGAAATAAAAATATGTAACTAACTACTGCACGTAGAGTGTAGTTATAGTTATAACTAACTAACTAACTAACTATTACACATACATCTCTAATATCTTAACTAACTTAAGATGAGCTAGATCCTAGCTGGAATGTTGTAACTACAGCTTGAACATTGCCTTCACACGCTCATTGTTCAACACTGCCCCTCAAGTTGATGGTTGAAACAGGTTCTTCACTCCAAGGTTCCTTAGTAGATAATCATGTTGTGCTTTGCTTAGGCCTTTTGTAAGTAAATCTACCAGTTGCTCCTTTGTAGATACATGCTCAATTTTGATTGGACCATGTATGATCCTCTCTTTTACAAAGTGGCAATCTATATCTATATGCTTGGTTATTTCATGAAAGATTGGATTTGCAATAATTTGTATTGCAGCTTTACTATCACATTTCAATTGAACAGGTAAATACACATAAATTCCTAGCTCTTTGAACAACCCCACAAGCCAAGTAACCTCCGTAGTGCATGAAACCATGCTTCTAAATTCAGCTTCAGCTGAGCTCCTAGAGATAGTTTCTTGCTTCTTGGATTTTCAGGAGATAAGAGCACCACCAAACTTCACTAGATAGCCTGTCACTGTCCTCCTTGTCTCCACACAGCCCCCCCAATCTGAGTCACAAATGGCTGTTAGCTTGCTTGTTTTTTCTGTAGGCATTAAGAGTCATAGGCCAGGTTCTGCCTAGATATATTTCATTGCCCTGAGAGCAACTTCTAGGTGAGATGTTTCTGGGCAGTGCATATATTGGCTAAGAACTTGGACTGCAAATGCCAGGTCTGGTATAGTCATGGTGAGGTATAGTAGTCTACCCACCAGCCTCTAATAGATACGAGGGTCCTTCAATTTCTCATCTGCAGCTGCATTGTCACTTTGCAGCCAAGTATCATAGTCCACAAACACCATATTTTGGTTCAACTCTAGTGGAGTTCCTGTAGGTTTAGCTCCATTCAATGATGATTCAGAAATGAGCTATAAAGCATATTTTCTTTGATTCATCACAATGCCCTTCTCAGACATAGTAAACTCAATTCTTAGAAAGAATTAGAGCTCACCAAGATCTTTCATCTCAAACCTATTTTGCAAGTCCCTGCTAGTCTGATCCAATATGATTTGATAGTTGCTTGTGATCAACAAATCATCTACATAGACTAAGATGGTTGCTATGTCATGACCTGTTCTCTTAATGAACAGAGAATAGTCAAAGTGACTTTGTCTGAACCCCATCTGCAGTAAAGCCTCAATCAACTTCAAGTTCCACTGCCTTGGGGTCTGTGTAAGTCTATAGAGGGAAATTTGCAATTTGCACACCTTCTGGGACTCCCCCTGTCTAGCAGACTCTTCAGGAATGTGCATATGGACTTTCTCTTGAAGCTCTTCATTGAGAAAAACATTATGAACATCCATCCGATAGAGACACTAGTGCCTTGATGCTGTATGTGCTATAATGGACCTCACGATCGCCGTCTCCCCCAAAGACATTCAATCACAATCACAATCTCAATCACTATTTTAATCACAATTTCAAGCGCAATCACCACCATGTGTGCGGCATGGCATACGATCTCGACCCGATCGGCTAGGCCGTCTCACCATAATGATGTGTGGATCGACATCACCCTTTCTATCAATCATCTCATCCCAATTAAGGGGAGTAACCTCATCACATGAATCTTATCCTAAATAAGGGGAATAATCACAATCCATTCCTATACCGGCACGTGTAGTTTCGGGGTTAGATTATTTCAACCTACCTTTCCTAGGTGACTAATGATACTCTCAAAAATATTTATTAAATAAAGGAATTTCAACTCATTTCATAATCTTTTACACATCTCTTCATTTCATTGGCACTAGTGGCACCAACTGTAATATCATT